TAATATTGTGATCCACATCAATAAGTGCCATATGCGTCATCTCTCTTCTCTTTAATAGAATGTCCATTCATACAGATCAATAATTACATGTAAGACCAATATATATAATATAAAATTTTATGAAAAGTTGTGGTATTAACAAATTATACAGTTTAACTCATTTATCAAGTGTCTGTAATATATGGAAAATGTGTTTAATTGTATATTGATATATTATCTTAGGTTTTTAATATAAAAACTAATTGGCTAATTTGAGTAGATTAAGAAAGTTTATTACGTTAGTTATTTATAATAACTATGTGTTATTTTTTCTAAAATACTCTTGCGAATCATGTGCACTAGCTAGAACTACCATTTGATAGAATATTCAATATGTGCAACTACTAATACTACAAGAAGTAATTTAAAAGGATGAATAAGTATAAAAAAAAACATATTAGAGTATTATATCTAGAACTAAATTAAAAGTAAAACTAACTTGTTTATTAAGGACAGAGGTTGTACTTTTAAACCCATCACAATGAATTCTTATTTTCTTTTTTCATTTACATCTCGTTAAGGGGATTTATATCATATGATTTTTTTAGGATTAGTATAAATTTTAGTCTTTTAAGTTTGTCTTCATTTTAGTTTTGGTCTTTCAAGTTTAAAATCATAGATTTTAGTTTATCAAGTTTCTTTTTATTTAAAACGTTAATCCTTATAATCCAATAAAAACTTAAATCATTTTGTCCCCTCAAGGGATCAAAACTTATAGCTTGAAACTCCAGGGATCAAAACCAAAATGAAAGTAAATTTAAGAGACTAAATATTATGTTACCCCTTTTTTAATTTAGAATTAATTTCACTTTTTTTGATGCATAATTATCCTCCTAATGAAAGCAATCTTATTAAAATATTATTAGACACTAAATATGAATATCTCTTTTAATGAGGATTCGAACCTTGGCATAAATATTAATTTAGACTAAAACTTTTGGTTGATGCAATATAATTAATTATCTAAACATAACGTCTGTACACACACACACACCATAGATGGCAATATATATGTCATAATTTTATTTTTTGCAAGTAAATAACATTCAACCAAACTTTTTGCGAATAAAATTAGTACCAATAAATCTGTTTAAGAAATACTATATTTAGAAGATATAAAATTTTTAAGCATATTGTTCAGAAATAATGATAGACCAAAATGATTGGATTTGGGATTTTCATAATTGTGCTTTATATTAATTTTTTTCAACAAACTCCATATGAATTAATTACATGCATAAACTAATATAACACAATATGAAGTTATCACAAACATTAAGAACATATTTACAAGCATCATCATATCAAAGTAAATAATTAAATAAATTATGCAATTAAAAAACATAGATTGGTCTAAAAGAAATATAAGTGAACATTTGATTCCATCCATGTTGAGTATAATAAATAATAAAAGTTGAATGATTCAATTTACATGTTCAATAACTTTGATGTCACTGTTTTGTCACATTCACGCACATGAATTATATTATCTGGTTGGCGAAAAGAAAGGCTTATATTATTTGTTTTATTTCTCAACCAAGACTCTTAGTCCCTTGGCATATCTCACAGGTCATTTAATATATAAAATAAAATAACATAGGTGTAGATGACAAATAATCATATGACATTTATTATTTAAAAAAATTATAAAAAAAAGACAATGCTTGATTAACAAAGCATTGAATTATAATCAATTCTCAATTTGCCTAGTCAATTTGACTAGTCCCCCATGTGTTGAAATAGTAGCTAATAGGTTGAATAAAACATAATAAAATTGAGTTAATAGCGTCTTTGACTCTTAAAATTTGACCTCGTTTTGATTTTGCTACATGAATTTTGAAATTATTAATATTAATTTCTAAAATTTGATCTCATTTAGATTTGTTTAAAGATTTTTTATCTTTGAAATAATTTTGTTGGTTATTAAAACCAAAACCGTTGATTTCAAATTTCACAACCAAAGTTAAAATGATATCAAATTTTATGTACTAAAATGATATCAATCCTAATATATTTTTTTTCAATAATATAGATTCATTCCATTATTTGAAAGTTTATTATTGAAGAATTGTAGCCCCATCCAGGATCCAACCTGTTTGTAAATTACAAAGATAATTGGCAGAAATAAATTATTTTTTAATTGTAAGCTTGTCAATCATTCTATAGGCCCTCTCTTTTGATGATTCGGAAATTGTAGCATGACATGGAAGATTTGAAAATTAAAAGGTTTGAGAACAAATTCTAAGGTCCATATTCATTCGGCTTTATTCTAAGTCCGAATTCTCACAATTAAATACTTTGAAAATAACACCACAATATTTAGATTGTTTTCTCCTTAAAGTATACACTTGATCCTTTAATTATACAAGGTTTTAATTTGGTCTCTTAACTTTAAAAAGTATGACCTCAGGTTTTATGTATAAAACCTCATTTGTAGTCTACAAACCAGGTTTTATAAATAGGACTGGAGGTAATATAGTTTTAGTCTTTTAACCCAAAAATCATTCAACTCAAATGATGATTTTTCATAACAGTCATAGTTATTTTGAAAATTAAACATAATATGTTAATATTTTATCAATATTTAAGATATGAATATCATCGATTTTTTTAATAATTTTAAGATTAAATAACTAAAAATATACTTTTTCAAATTAAAAAAACCGAATTGAAACTCTATATAAAGCTAAAAGACTAAATGTAAACTTTAGTTTTTAAAAAAAAAATAACAACGATGTTTATGTTTTTTTACACGTCACTTCATCATGGTCCAATCCATCAAAAACAATGTAAATTTATCAAAAATTACAGTCTGTTCTTAAAAAAATAATGTAATTATCAAAATTCCCATATCAAGTAAATGATAAATTTCAGTATATTATCCAGGCTGAACGATGGGCAATAGGAGATGGGTTGGAACTGGCCTGGGCAACAGGTTACAGGAAGGTAAAGCAGGAAGCGGATTATTCTCAAGATTTTTTAATAATTATACTCTTTCTTAGAATTTTATAGTAATTTCCCCCAAAAAAAATAACTTTTTCCCATAAAGATTTTCTAAATATTAATTTTTTTAAAATCACTGGGACAACAATATTACACAAAAAAAGACACAGCGAAGAATGAACCGGCAACCCTATCATCGTAGCAAGGTTTTTGGTGCCATTGAACTCACACAATCATCAATATCAATCAATATATAGAACATAAATGGTGTGAGAGCAACCTATATTTGAGACTTGACTATTATAAAAATATAGGCCAATATATTTTGCTAGGTCCAAATTACTATTGATCACTGATAGGCTCTCAAGAAATACAGAAATTATATCGGGGCCTTGGCTGTGTTTTTGGCCTCCTAGATTCTCTCAATTTTGTTGATGGTGATGATTTTGTTTGAAATTTTGTCGGATACCTTGTAATGAGGATTAAATATTAACTTGCTATGTCATTTATAAAAATTAAAAAAAAACTAATACCTTCCCCTAAATCTAACCCTTATTAGTTATTTATTACTACCTCCGGTCCTTAATATAAGACCCTATTTGACTTTTTTTTGGTCCTAAATATAAGTCCCTAATCCACTTTGTCTCTTATATTACTCAATTTTTTCCAAGATAGTCCTTCTAATAATTATAGTTATAGTCAATACACTTGATTAGCAGGATATTTTAAAAAAGACAACACCTATTTAGGACAAATAACTAACTCAACTTACTTAATCTCCTCAAATTAGTCAATTAACTCTTATAATTAAGACCGAAGTAGTACTTATTTTGAATACACTTATTTTAATAATTGAGCAAATGGAAATAGTTTCTGGGCTCCACCGACTCACTTAAGACACAGGAATAAAAAAATTAAAAATTTTCATTAAAAACTCCTGAAATTTTGCAACGTTCCTGTCCCAGTAATCCACTTATTCAATGGGCAAAGAAAATACATGCCGTTTTCTTTTTTCATGAGACAAATTTGGGCTCAATGAGGAGCCTTTGAATTTTATCATCCCAAGGAAGCATAAAAGTAAAATCCACAGCACCATTTTAAACTTTTATTGACCAAAAAATTGTTGAAAAACATGATGAAAACATACCTCTTAATTTCAAAAATATGACTAAGACTGACAATTCCTGCAATGATTTACTACATTTATATTTCACCTTAAGTATTTTCCTATTAAACTCCCAAAAACTTTTGGAGTTCCAGCCCAAACACTAGCCAACCCAATTTGTTGCCCCAGCAATAGCTAACCATCCATTACTCTCAGATTTATTTCTAAAGATCACACTCAATAATGCTCACAGGTGTTTCGCCAAATACTTAAGACGACATGGGCTCCCTTCATAATTATACAGATTTATATTCTAACAGATCACATCAATAATGTCACAGGTGTTCGCCAAATAGTTAAGACGACGTGAGCTCCCCTTCATAATTATACAAATTTAAAATAGGGAGAATTGTAATTAATTTCACCCAGAAGAATCAAATACAAAAAAATCTCTTAAAATCATAAATTATCTTGAAATCTTAAAAAACCTTTTTACAATAAATTTTATTTATTTAATTAACAAATTACTTTTTTTTTTTTAAGTTTGTATTGACATCTGAAAGAGTAGTGATTGACAACTTAAGATATAAAGATTGACAATTATCGATACTGGTTTAACATCACATTTTCTCAGCATATCACACTATAAGTTGTCAAACAACTACGATAGTTATCAACCCTAAATTATCAATCACTGCTCTTTCAGTTATCAATACAAACTTAAAAAAAAATTTAGTAATTAAACAAATAAAATTTATTGTGAAAAAATCCTTTAAGGCTTTAGAATAATTTCATAATTTCAAAAGACCTCCTTGCATTTAATTCCTTTGGGTGGGACCTAATTGCAATTTTCTCTTTAAAATATTGAACAGAACTACTTTTTCAAAAGAAAAACTATCACTCTACGAAAGCATTGTGTCAGCCCAGCACTGAATGATTGCGTTGGGGCGATAAAATCTTGGATGAACTCAGCTTCATAATATTCTACAATCTAAGTTCAAAACTAAATGAAATCGGCCACATGCTAGGCCAAAACAGAAGAGTCCAGAAATAAAATTTAGAATTCCAAAATTGACATCCAACTTAAGCCACAACATATTGTCTTGGTAAAGGGGCAAAGAGAAAAGCCACAACAAATTGCAACTCCCAACACATGCAATTTTGCAAGCTTAAAGCCTTCTTCCTCTTCTACCACCCTTTCTCCTGGTGCTGTCTGATGGGATCGGAGTCACATCCTCTGCAAAATCCCACATCATACATGAACAAATTAACAAACCTAATGGAACAGGAGGACATTAGGGTAAAATGCAAATGACCCTTTCAACACATAGCAAATCAAACCCTACATAATGCAGGCAACTTTATCAACACGATAGGTATAGACAAACAAGATTTCAAACTGTTAACTAAAACACGTTTGGTTTCACAAATATTTTCCAAAGCCATTTACTCCACAAACCTCAATTTTCCCAATACAATCATACAATGATGTTAAATATTGAAAATTCAGTTAACTCACGACAAAATTCAAACCAACAGGAAGTCACATATTTACTGAGTTTAATTGGAAAAAAGAAGAGGTGCAAAGGAGGAAATAAGTCTTACTCCTATAGTTTCAACCACTCAAACTACATGGGTGACTACATAACATCCAATTTCTTTTTTGGCCGAGCACTACAATTAGCAGTTCATAAAAAATAAAAAAAAAACCAAAACATGAAACAACATAACATCTTCAGACAAGCAAATCAATTCTTCAAAATGTGCATTACCTATACGACCAATTTTCATTCCTGATCGAGCAAGGGCACGGAGAGCAGACTGAGCACCAGGACCTGGTGTTTTTGTCTTGTTTCCACCAGTGGCACGGAGCTTGATATGAAGAGCAGTTATGCCCAGCTCCTGTTCCATAACTCAAAGTCAATTAACAACTTTTGACTGCTTAATAAAACAATGCAAACACCCAAGTGCTAATGATTCAGCACACTTGAACTAACAATTAATTGAACACCTACATAAAACTAAAATCCCATCAATAGTGCTAGATTACCAATGCAAGAAGGCAATCATACAAAAATTAGAATGAAATCCAAACAGATAGAAACGGTTGGATCCAATGAGATTAATTTAAAGAACTGGCTTATAAAGAAATTGATGACCTTGCATCTAGCAGATACATCCTGTGCTGCAAGCATGGCAGCATAAGGGGAAGATTCATCTCTGTCAGCCTTCACCTTCATTCCCCCTGAAGATAAGAACCAGGTCTCATTAGAAAACACAATCTCGACTTCTCTGTGTTCACATTTAATTTTCTTAATGTTCAAATTTAATTTTCTTAAAATGCCAGAGCAATATCTGGCAACATATCTTAACTCTTGAGAACATTTGATATTTTATAATTATATAATTAAGAGGACCAATTCGAAAGGCTAGATGAAATTAACAGAAAAGGTCATGCACGCCTAAGCAAAATTGACATATTAAGCAAAGCAACAGAAAGGAGGAAACTCTTTACCTGTTATACGAACAAGGGTTTCCCTTCCAGACAAATCAGTGACGTGCTGTAACAAAGCAAATGATCAATTATACTGAGAATTTTCAAGATGCAACTTATATGGAAGAATATACGCTTCATGTGCTCACAATGAAGTGTCATTAATGATGCATAGATATGGGCAACGCCAAAAACATGTTCGCCATCTCTGACAGTTGGGACCAAGAGTAACAGTTTCTTCCTTGGGCTCTCTAACCTTTCTCCTTGACTGTTTACAAATCACACAACAGAATTAGAACTGAATGCATCGCAAATCAATTTTTTTTTTTTAAAAAAAAAAAACCTGGATCAATGCAAGAAAACAAATTCTGCATAGGGCTAACGTAACAAGCTAAAAAGTTAACAATAAACTCTCGGAAGACTTAATTTTTTTATGAGCCCCGACGATCTTAATTTTATACTAATCTGACAGGTGACCTCATTTATGAGGCTGGCAATGAAGAAAGGCGTCCCTCTTCTTTCAAAATGAGTGACACTACTCTAAAATTAGTCAAAATACATCACTTAGACATTCCCCCAATTCAGGTACCACCAACGCGACAGACAGTTTCCCCAGCAGTGTCAGAACAGTTCAAAATAAACCCAGAAAAATGTCGACGGAATCATGACACGAAACTGCATAGAAAATCGCAGAAATACCAACTCTTACGAACCAACGGGAGCTTAAATTCATAACCACACAGTTTATTAATCTTAATCATCCCAACCTCCTCAATATTCACATAACAGTTCTACACTAGAGAGAAGAAGTTAATACGATTCAGAGACTTCCATGAAAAAACAAAGTAGATTTAACATAAATCAAAGTAGACATAGCATATCGACATATTCAAACGCAATTCCTAACCATGATTGCGAGGCAGAAGGGTAGAACACAGGGGTCGTGCGTGCGGCTTCTGTGTTTCTGCTCCGACAACGCGAAAACCCTCGCTGGGTGAACTAGGAAAGACGACTCATATTATATATGGGCATGCTTTTAGGGTTTTGCGGCCCATTTTTGCACTTGGCTTTTCTTGGTTCCAGACTGTTTTTGGCACCCAATGGGGTCAGTCCATTATGATTGTAATCTGACAATTTTTTAAATAAATTTTTTGTTATAAAATATTTTAATTATTCAATTCTCCTTTAATTTTTTACTGAAAATTTGTTTTATCAGTATTAGATGAATTAGATGAATGCATAACCTAAAGCCTATATGAAAATTGGCATTGTTCATAACGTCATATCTTAAATTGGCATTATGATCTACCCGGTCTATAAAAGAAGGGATTGACTTGTTTGAATTAGTATTTACAGAAATGATTTTTATTCCAACTTACTCCTGCAAATTGAGATTTAAATAAAAATTAGTTAATATGATATTATTTATATTTGGACAGAATAATTTTATAAAGAAGAGAGTTTCCTTGAAATTTCTGACTAAATCCACATACTACAAATACAATAATAACAACAAAGTCTTATCCCATTAAGTGGGTTGGCTATGTGAATTGCACAAAGGTATTGAGCTCTATCCAAAGCAAAATCCCTAGATATATTATTAGTTGAAAGATCTTGTTTAATAACCTCAATAAGTGTTCTCCGTGGTCTTCTTTTACCTTTTTTAGGGAATTTCATACTGTTTGATCAACCCTTCTCACTGGTGCATCCAAATGCTTTCTTTGCACGTGACAAACCCATCTCAAATGGTTTTCTACCATTTCTCACTAATAGTCGCAATTCCAACTTTTTCGCATATATGCCCATTGTGAATTCTATGTTTTTTTGGTATGATTACGCGTCCATCTTGGCTATCTCTATTGTATATTCATGTTGTCCCTTCCACTACTATATAGCATTATTGGTCTTATACTAGTGCGATAAAACTTTCTTTTAATCTTATTCGGTACTTTCTTATTACAAATAACTCTTGTCACTTTTCTCCATTTAAAACCGCCTAGCTTGAATTTTATAATTAACATCACCATCAATTTCACCATCTTTTTGTATAATTGATCCCAAACATCTAAACTTTTCGACTTTCATAATGAATTGATCTCCCAATTTAACCTCCATATTCGTTCTAACTTGTCTCCTTATAAAAAATATTGTAATACATATATTTTATCCTGCTCCTTCTCAAACAAAACCCTTTGATTCCAAAGTTCTTCTCTATATCTTAAATTTAGTAATAATCTCTTCTTTTGACTTAGTCAATAGGATTATATCATCAACAAAAAACATGTACTTAGAGATTTTTTTTTTATATGTTTAGGTAGAACGTCAAGGACTAGGTTAAACTAATAGGAGCTCAAAAATGATCTTTGATGTAGGCTAATTCTTATAAAAAAGTTTTCTATCTCACTGCACGGCATTCCAACATAATTGTGACCCCTCGTACATATCTTGGACTAAGTGATATACACCTTTCCTTGCTCTCTGGAGAACTTCTCTCCATATACCACAAATATTTGTCTTTATAGCCAAAGTACTCAATGGCAACATATAGTTTGATTGAAGACTATGGGCTCGTTTGGAACAGCTTATAAGTAGCTTTCCAATAGTAATTTACGGAGTAAGAGGCAAATATGTGAAAATAGTTTTGTCCTGGCTTATGTGAAACGTGTTTATAAGGAATTTCCACCCCTTTGCCAAACAGGGCCTATATAGGTCACAACTACATCATAAGTCTCCCTCTTAGAGGGATATCATGTCTCACGATTTGGCTTTTGTTTGGCTAAATAACAGATAACATCAAATGTCTTAAAAATATTTTTATGCCAATCACTAGGCTTCATGTGGTGGCAATACAACATAATACAGGAATTTAACCACAATTTTCAATCAACAACCCCATCATCTAAACACAACACGGTCACTACAATTCAATCACAGTTATCAAATATCTACACAATTGCCTAGTCTCACTCTCCTGTATTTACAATGAAATTTATTGGCGTTTGTAATTCACCCAAAAAACCTTATAGATTGAAATGAAACAGAGGAAGTTTGACCTCAGAAGCTTCACTATTGACAATGCTTTCAAAGAAGCAAAAACTTGTGCTGACTGGCCCAGGGTAACTTCTACATTAAGATTGTTAATGATCCGCTCTGAGTGGAAGGATCATTTGCCTTTTGACATGACTTAATTTATCTTGCCCATTTGACTCGCTGTGGTAGTCAGTGGTAACCTTGTTACTTCAAAAAGGGAAAAAATCGGAGAGAAATAATAATAATAATAATAAAAATCATCGTTACAATAAAGGGTTGATTTTATGGGGTTGCCGGCCCAGGCGAAGGAACGACACAATCACTAATTCATTATTGACGAAGACTTTTTCTCACGAAACAAGCCTCTGAGGGAGTTCTGTTCTGGGCAATTAGGCTGTGGAAGAGGGTGGTGCTCCAATTTCGTCGTTCTCGCGCAATTCTCCGATTCAGTTATGAGCGAGGAAGGCAAGAACAGGGGTGTCGTCACCGATCACCCGCGCCAGCCTTACTATGGCACCTTTCAGGGCGTTGCCAACTATTACCCGGCTGCTCCACCTCCACCGCCGCAGCCTCAGCCAGTGGTAGGATTTCCTCAGCCTATTCCTCCACCAGCAACTTACGGTGCTCATTATTACCAAGGATATCAAACTGTTCCAGGTACGCGTTGAGATTTTTTGTTGCCCGCAATGTCGATTACTTCACAAACTATGGGCATAAATAATGCTTTTGTTATTAAACACGGATGAATTGAATGCGAATGCTTCTTAGAATGAATTTAGATACGGCCAACCTTTTGTTTTCTCATAGGATATTTGAAGTTGTTCCCAAATTCAGCAGTTTTGATTTGGTACGAGGACAAGTTGCTCACCCGTGGTTGATCTGAATCCAATTAGAATGAATTTTGGGGCAGTTTGATATCTGCTGTAATCTGTCTGGGGAGCAATGTTTAGGTTGAGGCGTTGTTCTGTTGCATTCTATAGCTAAATCGGTTCTAGTACGATTTGATGGGGTTTCAATTTTTCTCTGTGATCGTTATATTTTTTAATACATGATATTGCTTTAAGGCTATGGTTATGAATTGTTGGGATTTGGAAGTTTGAACAATCTATAATCTATTGCTTTTTTTTTTCTCCTCTCTAAATCATGGCTTTGAAATGGAAAAGAATAATGGCGGGTGGATGTTGAGGCTTATGAAATGACAGTTTGTGAGGCCAGAAAAAAGTACCAAAATGGAAGATATTGGTCAATAATTACGCTACTTTTTATTGTCCATACATTTAAAACATGAAGACTTTCAAACCTGACTTTTGCTCGAGTATCACTTTTATTATTTCTTACACATTAGTTAGTGCAGGAACAGCTCGAGAATGATTTAATTATCCTAAATTCTTTGTCACAGCTGTCAAGTCTGATAATTTTGATTTAAGAAGTTGGATAAGATTATTATAAACTTCCATGCTATTGATCTGTAGTCAATTTACAGAGTAGAGGTTTCCATTTCTGTCTTGAAAATTGATATGTCAAAGCCTTGCATGAAGGCAAAGGCACAACATTATGGCTCAGATCATAGGGAAAACTCAGTTTAAAGTAGGCTTATAAAAATTTTGGTAAACTATTTATTGGGATGGAAGAGGGTGACCGTGTGCTAAGAGCCGTGGTTGTGAACAAAATATCAGATTTTCATATCAATAGAAGTTGGGCCAGATGAGTAAGAAATAAGTTCTTCATTGCAGAGGCCAGAAGGGCGACATATGTGAAACGCCAAATAAAATGGTATGGTGCAGTAAGTTTGGTATTATGGACATGTCTTAGAAACGGTGTTCTAACTGACAAATGGCCTCATAAGATGCTTTCACTATTTGAAATTGGCCAATTATTATAATAGTTTTAAGAGGTTATTTGGGTTGTATAAAGAGAAAGAAAAGAGGTTATTTGGAATGTGTGATTAGCTAGTTCTCAAATCAAATAGTCCAAATGGTTTGCGTGGTCTTGTTTTAAAAACATTGATGGAATGGTTCTTTGAAGATATAAGTCCTAGGATACATAATACATTTATATAGCTTTTAAAGTGAAAAAGAATATGCTGCTATTATATGTTCATTTGTCATTTTGACATATCTGTGTTCAAAGCTCCATTGACAAATTTCATAAGATGCATAAATTTCTGACCCCATGTAAAGTTGTCTAAAGTCAGTGTTTGTTCGATCTTTCCCTATTTGAATTGAAGCTCAGTGTTAGTTCGATCTTTCCCTATTTGGATTGAAGCTCGGTGTTTCTCTAGAATATATATATATATATATATCATTCAGAAAAAAAGGTTCTTGGCACCTTAATGATAGTAGTATTTAGCTGCTTGTTTTCACAGAATATGATAATGTAGCTATTCCTAAGTGCTTCTATCACCTTCCCAATATTGTTATTGGCATCTTATATCTGAGATCACTTACGTTAATACATGGGAATTCTTTTTATCAATTTTCTTGTTTTTGTCTTCTACGTGCACATCATAACGGTTTTATAATGCCCTGAAGGTTATGCTGTTGCTGAAGGAAGGCCCATAAGAGAACATCGTCTTCCTTGTTGTGGACTTGGTCTGGGTTGGTTCTTGTGAGTTTGCTGGCACTTTATTGAACCATTTGTTATTTCCTTTTTAGGCATCTATAGTTAAATGTTAAGGGGCACTCATGCTGTAAACTACATGATGTCTTCCATCTAACACTGCATATAATTGGATTCAAATGCTCTTGTGGGATCTAGGGTAATGAGAAGACACAGTCTCTGATTATTCTTTTCATGTGTTTGACATTAGGAATTCAAGAAATTTGTCTAGCCAGGGTGCCAGATGTATTGATGACCATAATTTAATTTGTATTGCAAGGTTTATAACGGGATTCTTTCTTGGTGGCATTCCCTGGTACGTTGGAACTATTTTGCTGCTATGCGTACAGATGGATTACCGAGAAAAGCCTGGATTAGTTGCATGCACAGTTGCTGTAAGTGTTTATCTCAATTTGTAGATTGTTTCGTTTTTCATTTCTGTCCAGGCTTAGTCCTTTGCCAATTTAGAACATGGTTCTCTAATAATTTCTGGCTAGATTATCATGCTAGCTTATTAGGACAAAGCTCTATGTCATTGCCTGTTCCCACTTGACCTGTGTTTCTTTATTCTTAATTTGCAGTCAATCATTGCTGTGATAGCTGTGACTCTTGGTGTTACAAATAAAGGTCATGATTGGTGAAACCAAACACGCCAAAGAACTTACTGTACATTTCGACTTCTTCAACCTCTCTGACGCTTTCTCGCTGTTCTGAAGTCTGAACTTCACCTGTGGTTATATGTAAAATTTGCTACGTTTGTTGTAAATCGCCACGAGAATGCATTTTCTACAGATTAGCAGATGTTAAAGGCTTCGGAAACAGAAAAAAGAATATATGTTGACTATTATAGCAGGAAGTTACACATTATATAAATGTTTATCCAGGAAATGCTGTCATATGTTTCCTTCGCTTGAGGAAACCATGCTCAAGGTTTAAATGAAAGGGTGACCATCAGGTCAAAAAAAGAAAAAGAAAAGAAAAGAAAGGGTGACCAGGCATGCTATAGCGCATTTGAGATATATCCTACGAGACGCGAGAGATGAGGGGAAAATGCATCCATGTAAAAGATTCTTTTGTTTTTTTTCCCCCCTTTCAATAATGCTAGAGAGAATGAAATATTTATTTCAATTCTAAATATAATATCTTAATTTACTATGCTTCTCGAACTTATAATTTTTTTATAAACTATAATTGTTAATTGCACATGTTAAGAAAGTTTTTATTAAGAAACAATTCGAATACAAATAATTAAGGAGAATATTGTAAGAAAACAACACACATTTTTAACCTAGACATGACATATAACTTTTTCAACCCACAATAATTATAGAGGCTATTTTAGTGAAACAAATTATTCAACCACATTCGTGCTTCTAAATTTTCAGAAATCAAACTGATCAAGTGTTTTTTTTCCATTATTCTTAAAAAAAATTCTGAAAGAAATAAAATCATTTCTTAATACAAAAGAGAAAATAGATGCATTTATAGTTATAAAATATATTACTACCTCAAGTTCTAATTATAAGACCTCGTTTATAGCTATAAAAACAAAGTCTTATAATTAGGATCGGAAGTGGTATGTTTTTTCTGATGCAATTTTTTATAGAAATATTTATTTTTATTTTAAACTCAAACTTTGGTTTTTGCCATAAACAGAAGAAAAATGTTCTTTTTTTTTTTTTGACAACGATAGAAGGTTTAAAAGAAAAGAGTCTTTTTTTGTTTTGGAGTCTGAATCTTTCACGAGGCCCAGTAGAGGAAGGAACAATTTAATCCCATAGGCCCCGCCCACACCGAAACTCTTAATCCGGAACTAGGGTTTCCTTCATCGTATATAAGTAAAACGAAAACCCTACGTAGCCTGATCTTACGGCAGTGAGAGAGAGGGTGAGAGGTATCAGAGTGCTTCTTGTGTCCGTCTTCTCTCGAAAATGGTTGCTTTCAGGGTGAGTTTTTGTACCTCGGGTCTTAAACCAATGCTTTGGATTTATAATCAATTGCGGCTGAAATTTGTTTCTGAGGATTTATGACCCTTCTATTAATTTGCATCACTGAAAGCTGATATATTTTCATGTTTGATTGTTCGAATTTTTGATCTGATTTTTTGGTGGGGTATTCGATTTTCTCGTATTTGCCTCCTTTTTCACTGCACCCAAGTAAATGGCATTTTCCCAGCTGATTAGATGATTCTCTGGTTGCTCTTGCAGTTCCACCAGTACCAAGTCGTCGGGAGGGCTCTGCCAACGGAATCAGATGAACACCCAAAAATTTACCGCATGAAACTCTGGGCTACGAACGAGGTTCGCGCCAAGTCGAAGTTCTGGTAATGTGATTTCTTGTGATCATTGTATATTTCTGGTTGGAAATTTTCGTTTGTACTATTCTTGTGAGGTCTTTTGGTGTGAAAAAGTTTTATTCGATTTAGTACTCTAGTTTTTTTGTCCCGGAAGTCGAGGCTAGTAATAATTGTCTTAATCTGGCTGATTGCTTTGATTTAGGTATTTTTTGAGGAAACTGAAGAAGGTTAAGAAAAGCAATGGTCAAGTGCTTGCTATCAATGAGGTGCATTTTTACTTTCGCGCATGTTTATCGAGTGTTTTATGTCTCTGTTCTAAATTCTGACAAGAATGGTTTCTTGTTAATTCGAAACAGCAACTTTCTAACATTTATTCTATAAAATGTTTCTCCCTTTTCTGTGTTAATTTATGTTAGAAAGCTTGTGGTGAGTGGGTCGTTAATGTTGTGAAACTTGATCTGTGTCGTAAGATGCATAGCTCCTAGGATATTAGCGAGTGAACCCTTGAACATGTAGTGCATCCTTTTAAGTGCGTTCATATCATGACATTTTAGCTGATAGCCTAGTCATTTAGGTGGTTAGTTGCCATCAGAAGGAATGTTCGATCGGCAAATCATGTGAAAATGGAATCATCCCCGCTGTTACTATCTTCAGGAGCGGTAGAAACTATTGGATTGATTGCCAATATCAGTGTAGAGTATCTGATTATAGGTGAAAATTACAATAATAAGGCATCTTTTGTTCATGATTATATGCTCAGACAATGAGAAAATGTCTTTTGGCTACTGAAAGTTTGAGACTCAGCTTATTTCTTGTCCTACCTGGTGCTGGTACCTTTGTATTTCTCCTTGAGAAATTGCTGGATTTGGCCCTATTGGGGTCCATGTCTTCAAAACTTTAATTTCTACCTTTCATACTGCAATTTTAATTTAACATGTCGAAGTGAAATATTCTTTGTTTTTTCACAATGTGATGCATCTATTCAAATAATTAATTCACAACAGGCATAAAGTGTATCACCTGTATCCCAATTTAACAAGGTCAAAAAAAAAAACCCCAATGTAACAATGTTTTTGGTTTGGTTTTATTTCTGTCATATTCTGAGGCCTATGGTTTTCATGCATGTATAGATTTTTGAGAAGAACCCAACCAAGATCAAGAACTACGGCATTTGGTTGCGTTACCAGAGTAGAACTGGCTATCACAACATGTACAAAGAGTACCGTGATACCACTCTAAATGGTGCAGTCGAGCAGATGTACCATGAGATGGCTTCCCGTCACAGGGTCCGTTCCCCTTGCATTCAAATCATCAAGACGGCCACCGTTGCTGCTAAACTCTGCAAAAGGGAGAGCACCAAGCAGTTCCACAACTCAAAAATCAAGTTCCCGTTGGTTTACAGGAAAGTCAGGCCACCCACCAGGAAGCTTAAAACCACGTACAAGGCCAAAAAGCCCAACTTGTTTATGTAACGTGTTTGTGGTAGAAGTATTCCATCGGCTTCTTGATTAGCTGGTTTTGTTTTGAGGATCTTAGAACTTTGTCATTGGGTTCAAGCTTTTTGTATTTTAATGCTTCTATTGGATCTGATCTTATATATTTATGATATTTGGGTAGGAATGAACAAATTTACATTACTGTTACTTCCTGCTGTTTTTTGTCCGTTGTTTTAATGCCTCTGCATTATATTAACGAGCGATTTATACCGAGTGTTTTAAGTTATTGGAATCTTGGAAACGTGTTTCGCTCATGACTACCGAGTAGGAGGATATGCTTCAATTTTGAAAACGTGTTTAGCTTGTGATAGGTATTGACCTCATTACGCAAATCATGAAGAATTTTGGTGCGATTTCAAACAAGAACAGAGTTGGGTGACTTGCTATTCGCTCTTTAAATCCAGAGGGAAGGATTGTGTAGGCAGTTATTGGGTCCGTTTGGGTCCGTTTGGATAGCGATTAAAAAAGTAACTTATTGAAAAAGTAGTTTATAGAGAAGTGAAATTGGATAAAAGTTAAATTGGATAAACTAAATTGTGTTTAGATTAGAGTTCGGAAAAGTTAGATAACAAAAGTGAGATTGGTAAAAGGTTATTTGGATTATGATTGAGTAAAAGTAAGTTTGGTTATAAAATGATCAAAATAGATATAAGTTTTAATAAATAATAAAACATGATTAAAAAAATAATTTCACATAATACAATGAAATTAAAATAATTTAATATGAAGAAGTCATAAAAAATATTTTAAATATAAAGTGAAACATGAAAAAATAAAAGTATATTTTTAGGAGCATATTTAAAAATAAAAATATATTTCTAACTTATTCATTACTTTCAACTAATTTTAACTGATTTTTTATTATCTACAAATTAGTTATTTGAGGCTTCTAATAAGAACCAAAAAGAGGTAATAAATTTCTTAACTTTTTCTCTCTCCATATTTCAAAAGCTATAAGCCATAAGTTGTTAATTTTAGCTTATAGCTTATTGTAGTTTTTCAGACAAAAATCCGATTGCAGAAAAGCTGATCCAAACAGACCCAATTGTGTCAATCGAGCTTATAGAGCTTATAAGCTACTTATAAGCTTAAAATAAGTGATGCCAAACAGGCACATTATCAGCTACGAGGGAATGCGAAATTTAAAAAACTTCAAATACAGGGTTTGTTTGTGATAGTGACAAAAAAACACTTATAAATATGTTTTGTTTAAATTAAGACAATTTTTTTTTAATATTTTGTAAATAACGATTAAAAAGTTATTTATAAATTATTATTTAGAGTAAATATAAATTGGACCGCACAAATTTGGTTGTCACTGTTGTAGCAAGGCTTCCGTTTATAATTTTGTACCTGTTGATCTTGATTCATGCTGTGCATGAGATTGCGTCTCTGACTATCGGGATCGCATTCTTACTGTTGTAGCAGACGTTAATAATTCCCCGTAAATTAAATGAGTTACTTATTTTTTTGACCAGCAAATTAATTGAGTTACTTAAAACTACTTTTTTTTTTGTTGCATAGTTGTCCTTGATAAAGTTATTAGTTCGAGAAGTTTTAATTAGTTAGAAAGTTTTATAACTAAGGTTCATGATCTAATTAAAGAGTTTGCTTCAGATCAGAATGAGATTTCATTCTATTTTATTTTTTAAAACTATCTTTAATAATCCATGTTAAAATGGATGGTTTTTTTGGTCCAAAAAAAGGATAGTTTTTAGTACAAATGATTAAAAAGAATTTTTTTTAAAAGAGAAATCAATGCACATTTTTTATAAATAATTAAATTTTTAATCATTGTAAATTAGTTCTATTTGAATTTGGAAGGTGTATTTTATACTTAAAAAAATGCAAGGGGTTTTATAATTAGTACGTGAGAAATAAATTTTACTCTTTTATGGCCCTTAACCACTAAATTAGTCAAGTAAGATACTCCTCCAGTACTAAATATAAAACTCATTTTATTATATAAATTACACTACAAAATGGGTCTTATATTTAAGACTAAAGGAAACCAATTTAGCATAAGTTTCAATAAATTCATATATCTTTCCCTTTTTTCCCCTCATAAGCACATGAATCTCATATCGGAAATAGTTCAATTTGAGGCATCAGGAATTAAATGTTGACACAATTTTTAATAAGATTCGAATCTTAGTTTGTCTTTTTCGCTTAGACCTAATTCCTTAGAGGTAATTTATATACTACCTCCGGTCCTTAATATAGGACCCCGTTTGACTTTTAGTTTGGTTCTAATTATAAGACCCCAATCCATTTTGTCTCTTATATTTATGCATTTTTTTCCAAGATAGTCCTTCTAATAATGATAGTTCTAACCAACACACTTAATTAGCAAGGATATTTTAGGAATGACAACACTTATTTGTTATAAATAACTAACTTAACTTACTTCTTTAATCCCCTCAAATTAGTTAACTGGGTCTTATAATTAGGACCGGAGGTAGTATTTTTCATCACTTGACCAATGGAACAATTGAGTATGTTCGACGCCTACTGTTGCCACTTACCACTCCACTATTAGAAGGTAAACTCACATGGGATCCCTTTTTTTCCAGTATATATGTTGGAGATGCTTATAACCTATTCATTCCTTCCGACGATTCGTAACATTTACTTGGAAAATGATGCTCTGTTTAATGTCTTTTTACTTGTTCTACTACTACTTTTATGTATGTCTAATTTAGTTGAAATTACTGATGAATAAATAAAATTGTGGAATTTTATTAAATATTTTTTTAGCGATATGTTTGAGAAATAATTTCCCCTCATTACTTTGGATTAACAATGAATTAACTTTAATTAAGAACATATGCTTACACTCTTTTTACTTAGAATAAACAACTTATTATTCTTTCTTTGCTAAATCACTTGTTGATTGAGTCAGTGATGAATAATTAGTGAGGGGTTGATCACGTCATAAAAACTAATACTGTAAAAAAAAATTAAATAAAATAAAATAATTATCAATATTTAATTTTGTGCATTAAAAGGTCGGTATGAACATGATTGCAATTAGTGATACTAAGGACAAAGGTTACATTATGATGATATTGACTTGTTGCCCAATCTTTGACAATAATGCGAACTGTAATCATTTTGATTTCGTTAGCAAAAAAAAAAAAAATCATTTTAATTTGGCTTAATTTGTCCGCTTCAACATTAATTAAACAAATGCCAAAATTATATATGGTTTATAAATATTTAGATAAATGAGTTAATAGCTTATCTTTGCAATTTCTTTTGGTGTTATTTACTATTTTGCATAAATCATTTATATATGTTTTCATGATTCGTTCAAGGAATGTCTTAATTATTCAATTATTTTTTTTGTCCTTTTGAAATTAAACCGCTACTTAAATTACTTAACGAATTTCATTCTTTCGTTAATGGTTGCAAGTCATTTATATAAATTTAAATATCTGAACTTTTGCCCTCAATTCTTCAATTAAAATGTTAAACATTGTAACATTTCATTAACAAAATCGTATAATCATCTGTTAAAATTATATATCAGTTGAATAATTACGGAAGATATATTTATAAATATTTGTATTTATATACTTTATATTTCTATATATATATGTTTGCTCTAAATGATATAAAATCTATAAGAAGCAACAATAGTATTCAAAAGGAATAAAAAATCTAATTATATTATCATAAATAAATTAAAATAAAAAAGTATAGGTAAAACCTTTTCGGTTATGTAATTATTGAATCGTTAGCTTTCAAAGAGGAATCGGAGAAGAGAAAAATGTGTTGAAAAATCATTTGAAAAAAGAAGATGGCACTAACGAAAAGTTACGTTGTATTCTCATTCACTTATATAATTTCGAAAGTCACGTGTTCACACTCTCTTGTGATGGATATCGAAAAGTATTTTTGTCTTTAATTTGAGGAGACTGTAACGATTTAAGGTTGTAAGTGAGATTAAACATAATATTCTGCTTATAGTGGAGCACCTGTGTTAAAGGCTACAAGACTATTATATTGATATCGATACCAAAAATAATTCTTTTTTTTTATTAAAAAAACTAAAGTATTCTTCTGGTTTTTACTGTAAGACTTGATTGAAAAGATAATATTGATTCTATATGTAAAACTTATTTTACATGTTATCAATTTTTTTTCCACATTAACCCTATTTATATTCCCTTAATAATAATCAAGTAAGAGAGGAAGGTAAGAAATTGAGAAAGATGTTTATAGTATTTTAAAAAAACACATCATATTGACTAATCTAGCTAACATTTTTAATCTACTCAGATTAATTAATTATATTTTATATTAAGGATTGGAGGAGTAATTCTTTGAGAAAATGGTAAAAAAAGACCGCTGAAATAGAAAAATTACACACAGGGATCAGTTTACAAAAGTTGTTGTTAAAACCTATATTATTGCTGTCAAAATCCATACTAATATTGTCATTGATTCTTATTTATAATTTTTCTATTTCGACGGTCTTTTTTATTATTTTTTCTAATTCTTTTGAAAGAGAGTGTGAGTTAGGGACAACCACTAATCTGATAGGTCATGCACATTTTTCCTCATGAAATAAAGACACGTTAAGTCATCATGACTTCCCTAAGTGCGTGTTGGTGTTTTGTCATTGTTCAATTACGACTCCTAATCATGTTAATTTAATTTTTAAACTTGGATAATTTTAATTTATAGTGTGTGGAATTTCATCTTTTCAAAAGACTGAGTACTTAATTATGACCAAGGGTTCAAAGTACTTAATTTTTTAATCAAGTGTTTGGCTTGATTTAGGCGTGGTTAATAATATATTAAATGGGTAGTAGTAATTGGTAAAAAAAGTAGTGATGACTCACAATTCAAATAGGATCTTGAACTTGGTTATTACGAATTGAAATAATCGCGTAGGGACAATTCTGTTCTCTATATGGCTTGACGTGATTTGAATTAGCATTAATGAATAATGTCAGATATTAAATTTTAATTTCTTTTACTAATTTGACTATTCATTAGGAGAAGAAATTGGGAGTAGTGGGAAAATGCGGCACATGAGAGTATTGGTTAAAGTTTCTACCTTCGGTCCATAATATAAAAACTAGTTATTAATTTGAGCAGATTAAGAAAATTAATTAATTTAGTTATTTATAATATATAGGTATTGTCTTTTCTAAAATTTTTTTGCAAATCAAGTGTCATTTGATAAAATATTGGCATGTGCAACTATTACTAGACTATCTTAAGAAAATGGATAAATATGATAGACAAGTTAGATTGAGATCTTATATTTAAAATTAAATTGAAAGTCAAATTAGTTTTTATATTAAGAACTATACTAAATGTTTCTGGAACAAAATACTTGAAGTGTTTTTTTTTTAAACATGCATGAAATAATTAGGTGGTTTTGCCCTATTTTTCTTGCTACATCTTCTTATTGGGACGCATCTGGAATTCGAACATTGGTAATTTGTGTCCAATTGAAATGTAAAGATATATGCAAATGCCATTTTAACTGCACATGGCAAGGTTCTTTCATTGAAGTCTTAATTTTGATTATCATTGAGCTAATCAGAGATATGAGTAAAGAAAAACTAAGGACTATCGAATGAAAAAAGTGATCCACTTTTATCATTATGCCTTCCACTATTCTCTGTCATAATAATAATACAGCTTTAAATCTAAGATAAACTTATAGATGATTGACTTAAATCTAAATACTTGTTGCATTACAAAAGTCTAAAAGCAATATTTTATGCAATTAGTTGTCCTAGTTTGTGTTTGTGATGTGGTGGATAAGAAAAGCTCTAAATAGAAGTAGTTAAACAAATGATGATGATAACTAATGTAGGTTGGGGCTTGACAAAACAAACTGCACCATATATGACTCATTTACGGTGCAACTTGTTAAGATTTTTGATATTTTTATTTTTAAGAAGAACCATCCAATATCTAGTACTCCCTTAGATCCAAAATATAAGAGATAGTTATGAGTTTGAACTTGGTTATAAATATAAGATCCTAATCTCATTTGTTTCTTATATTTATCATTTTTCTCAAACTAATTTACTTAACTTATAAACTAATATATAATATAATGTTGTATAAGAATATGCTAAGTATATTATGTCATATTTATTATAATTAAGTGATTTATTTGATATTTTTAATCTATCCAAATTAGTTAAGTAACTTTTATATACATAAATATAAGAGGTAATAAAATAATTTGGATCCAAGCTAACTCAGACTCTAATCAATTTGAAAACCCTGATCCACTTTGCAATTCCCAAACTTATAAAAAAATTTCTGGGTCATCCTTATTGGTTATTATAAATAACTAACTTAACAATTTTTTTTAATATTTATAAATTAATTATTTAGCTTCTATATTTAAGATTAGAGGAAGCATTTAAGAATCACTGAGTATCTCCTCCTTAACCTAACCATTGTTGACAATATTTGAGACCCCCCTTTTCTTTCAAAACATCACATTTAGATCCCCATATACTCACTGGGATTTTACTATGCGCAATTATTGGATCCCCTTTTAGAAAAGCTCCACTATTGAACAGGTTAAAATGCATGGCCCTCATTGGCACGTATTAAAATGCCTAGCTCTTTGGCATATATATCCCAATCCAAGAGCAATCATATGCCCTATAGCTATAGCATGTAACTCCAAGATGAGTGCCTTAAAGTTTTCAAGAATGCTTATATCTCCCACCGCTTTCTGCATTTTGGTCCTCACTGCTTCTCTTTATCTTCTCCCTTTCACTTTCTGTTCTCATCTTCCCCACTTGAATCGCTTTGCAACTCACAACTTCACTAATATTGACCACATTCCCAACAAGGTAATACAATTCTTCTTCTTTCTCCTCCTCCTCCTCCTCCTCCCCCTCCCCCCTTCCTTCTTCTTCTACTAATAATTGTTTTGGACTGATACATATACTTGTTTTGCGTTAATGTTGAATGATTTATATGCATGTATTTAGGGAGGGAAAGTGATAACATTAATTGAAAAATGATATATTCTAAAGAGTTCATATTACCATTTTCAAACTTACAATTGCTTCCAATGCACTGGTCTTTTTATCAAGTGAGAGTATATAAAGTTATATATATGTGTGTGTGTGTGTGTGTGTATTTTATTATGAGCAAGAGTCAGTGTTAATTGATAGTTAAATATAAATTTAACTGAATTAAATCGCAGAATATTTTATATGTCTTTGTTACAATGAACAGGTGAGCAGTGGGAAGATATCTGATATTACAATTCATGGATTGTTGCTGTGGGCTTCAATGGGATTGTTCTTGCCTCTTGGGATTCTTATTATCAGAATTTCAAATATTACACAACAACCTTCCTCATCAAACAGAACTTCACTTCTTTTCTATCTCCACGTTGCTTTTCAGGTTCAATCAATTTTCTATCCTCTCGATCCTTTTGTTTTCAGAAAACTTATCCATTTCACTAATTACTAATTAATTAGTGAAAACAATGTTTAAAGAAAAGATTATGAATTGCTGTTGTGTTGTGGTAATTAATCTTTTGTAAGATTATTCTTGACAGTTAGCTTTTGTAATCATTCAAGTGTTGATCTTTGTTTTAAACAGAATCAGACTCCACTGAGTGGCCGGTGCCCATGGCTTTTTTCTTTCTTTGACCCTACAGATTTGAAATGATTGCTTTGATTTTATATAGTTAAATATATTATCCTTTTAACCTAACCAATCCAAAAAGGAAGACACAAAATAAATCCCAAGATTAAATTTTTGAAGAATTAGACGTAGTTGCTTTTCATTTTCCTTCGAAACTAACTCGCAAGCAATCCTTTCTTAAGTTTCTCAATTCATGCAGATAATTCTATTCTTGCTAAGTAATTTATTATATATTTTACTAACAAAAATTGACATATTGTAGATAATTATATATTATTTCTACTTGTCAAACAATTAATTAATATTTGTTTTTTCTCTCCTATATTTTATGAAACAGATGATTTCAGTGCTTCTGACTACGGTTGGAGCAGCCATGTCTCTGAAGAAGTTTGAGAATTCATTTGATAACAGCCATCAAAGACTGGGTCTTGCACTTTATGCTGCTGTTTTGCTACAAGCCTTCCTTGGCTTTTTCAGGCCTCACAGGTTCATCACTTATATTCCATTCAACATAAAATATAGAATATGCCCAATGCATTTACATATATATAAAACTCAAGATGAACAGTGAAATAAATTTCATGTAGCTCTTAATATATTTAATATTGATTTAGTAATTGAAGTGATCATTATATATGTTTGTGACAAAGAATATAATCTTATTTGCAGGGGAAAGAAAGAGAGGAGATATTGGTACATAGTGCATTGGATAGTAGGAACAATAGTTTCACTTGTGGGGATCATCAATATATACACAGGCTTAAAGGCTTACCATGAGAGAACCTTGAAAAGCACTTCTCTTTGGACCATCCTTTTCACTTTACAAGTCTCTTTCTTTGCTTTGCTTTTTCTCCTTCAAGACAAATTGGATTACTTGAAAAAGCAAACTCTCATTCTACCCACTGCCACTCATCATTCTTCTTCATCAATTAATGTTGCCCACTCCAATAATCCTCATCAAATCCATATCCCACAAAGTCATACCCACCATAAAGAGTTGATGATTCCAGTCTCATCTCCAAAATCTAATGCACTTGCTAGCTTGTTTGACTCATAATCCTTCGTTTTTCTTCTATTTTTAAGACAGACCAGGTTGTACTGGATACTTGGTGTCGTATGTATAGGGTCTAAGAAATGAGTCATACTATTTACGGATTATATGAATAATCGTGTGATTACTTGTTATATAATTTTTATGTTATGCATAGATGATAGGTATTAAAACCCTCTGACTTTAAAAGTCAATCACATATACATATATGAGTGTGCTAGTAGGTGAAAATTTTAGTGACATTTACCTTGCGCATACTTATATTTTTATTTGTGTTTGACTGGATATCCTTAGTATTCTTTCTAGTCAAAATATTTGGGATTGGTTCATTTTTACATTATCTTAGCTTGTTGGTGTCATCTTTTGGACTGGTGGAGATGATCTTAATGAAAGGCAGACTTTGATGGAGTGCATTCATGAAAAAGTGAAGCTTTGTTAGTTTATGCTTCTACTTTTTCTCATCCTTCTTTTTTTAATGTATATTCTTTTTAAATTTGTATCATGATGAATATTTGATTGTGATATTATTTTGTGAGCTTATCATTATGATTATCAAATGGATTTGATTGTTGGCAGTTTCTTTCTGGCCGAACAAAGGACCTACTAATGAAGGTTTTTGAATCCTGATGTCAATATAATAAATATTTTAGTATAAGTTGATTTGTTGGTAATTTTATGAGTGTTCTTTAAATGTTGAAGCGTGTCTTAATTCTTGTGAGTTCCTAAATTCCATTTCTTCAAAATTTTCTACTTATCCAAATAAAATTATAATTGAAATAAAATTATAATTGAATGTTATAACGAAAAACTACGTATTAAGATTCCACCTTCTGTTTCTAATTAGCAGGATGAAGATGCATATTGTAAAGGAACCTAAAGCTTGCACAAAGAAATTAAAGCGTCTGGAGCCGTTTTAATCTGTCTGCTTATAATTTTCATGTTTATAAATACATTAATAATATTTTATAGGGTTAATACTATTTTGAGGAAATTAGAATCAAGTCCCACAAAAGAGAAATAATTACTAAAAGATCACAATAACAACATCAACGGACTATAATGACAAGTCCTATAGTAAGAATAATAACCTATGAGATTTGTTTTTTAATTATTTTTCTTGTTTGGGACTTCATTATAATTCTTCCTACTATTTTTGGTCCTGAAATTTGAAACTAATAGTTTTAGTTTCTAAAATATGAAGCAAGTGTTTTGGTCTTTAAAACTTAACTTTATTTTGGTTTTAACCCTTATTTTCGGGACCAAAAATCTTAAAAAGGCATACAATGAAATTAAATTTCAAGAATGAAAACCACTTGTTTAAAACAGGAACAAAATCTAAAGTAATGTCAAATTTCAAGAATCAAAGCTATTGGTTTTAAATTTTAAGGACTAAAATCAAAATAAAATCAAATTTCAAAAAATAAAAATAGTATTAACCATATTATGTATCAATATAAAATTTATAAATAAATGTTGTAGACCATGAATAAAATAACAAAAGGTGTAATTGCCTTTTTTTTTTTTTGTTAATGAAGTTTATCGAACTTTCAATACGTGATTTAAAGTCTAAAGAAGTTACATAAGTTTTTTTAGCCTTATTTTGAAATAATTACACAAAAACGTAAATAATAAAATAATACCAAATATCATATATAGTTGTACAGAAAGATATACCAAAAGATGGTAGTAATAATCAAACAATAATTAAATGCCAAGAAATGCCACTTATTCCAAATTATAATTCATAAATATACATACATTAAGGTTTAAGACAATGAGATTTTGATAACTCAAATCAATTTTCAAAGTAACATCAATACCCTCATTATATCTTCCAAGTTTGTGCAACACTCTAATATTACTCTTCCACTTTTAAATATAAGACTCTTTTTATAATGTAATTTACATTACAAAAGAGGTCTTATATTTATAACTGGAGGAATATTTATTATCTATTTAATACCTTAAACATTACAATGTTAGATATAACTAAAAAAATAATATGAATGGGTTGGGTATACTAAAAAATAGTATTATAATATTAAATGCACGATAAACAAAATTAGAGATCACGTTGAAAATAACCGCCCAATTTTCAAAAATCAAGTGGTACCAATTTGAGTTAGAATGTGGAGAAAATCTCACATGCGTCCCAAGTAACATAATTTATTAATTTAAGATTCCTTAAAATTTCAAAATAAAGAAGAGGTTCCATGATATCTGAGAGTAATATATTTTAAATAAAAAATTATGTTATTATCCCTGTCCCTAATGGACAAGTTATATAATTTGATTTTAACATAAAGATTGTTACATAATACTCATTTGTTCTAGTTTGATCTTACATGCAAGTTATATTATCCTATAAATTTAGTTGTCAACTAACACTCATTGAATTGTTAGTAATTTTTTATTGACTTATTAATCCGTACCTATAAACCTGTTAATAGTTGTCCACAACAAAATTATGATATAAGCTCATCATTTCATCTAATACTAGTGTGTATAAAAACTTTAGTGACACATGATTTTAGTTTAAAAATTGTTATATAATACTATTTTGTAATAATTTGATCTTATATGAAGATCATATTATCTCATTAATTTAGTTATCAACTAAAACCTTTTCCTATTAGCTTGTTAATTCACTCTCATGAGTTTATCAATTAAAATATGAATAATAACATAGTTTTTTATTTAGAATATATTATTCTCACGACTCCCATCGATTTTTTTGGCCAAACTCTCATCGATTTTCAAATTCTAAAAGAGCCTAGATAAATAAATTGTGTTGCTATCAATTTCGTTCAACTCGACGAAACTGCTAGACTTTTCTCTTTTCTTTTCCTTTTCTTTTTTAAAATAAAAATGGATGTTCGTATATTGTTCGGTCGACCCATTGAGCCCGGCGAACAAAACCGCCTAGGTGATGAAGCTGTCGAAAACCTAGTTTCCTGGATTCAACTGATCCTGATTCTGATTCGATCATACTGCTGGGTTTTTCTTTAGATCTATAGCTTCATACTCAGCGTCGGATTCTCTTATCGTGGTGTTTTGCTTCAATTTCTCGATGGGGGAAGAGGAGAAGAAGAAGAGGGTGGTGGTGGAATCGCTGGGATGGCTAACGGAATCGTCGATAATGCCCAAGAAGCACCGTGCAATCGCGGGCGTCGGGGCATCGTCGATCATGGAATTGAAAGCTCATCTCTACAGGTCTCAGGAAGAGTCCAAGAAGTCTCGGGAATTAGCGGGCCCGGAGGTTGAGTACCAACGCGCAAAGTCGAAGATTGTTCGTAAAGATGCTCTCTCCGCCAAGAACTCTGGGGTCGATGCCCGTGATCTCAAGTATGTTTTTCTTTGTATAATCTTGTTTTTTTTCTTTAATGATATTCGTGTTGCTACTGCTAACACTTATTTGTATTGGATTGGGTTCGGAAATAATAAAGCTGGTCTGACGTTGTTGGGCACTTGTGAATTTTTTGTCTTCTTACTCTGTTCTCTTAGCCACTGATAAAATGTTGAGGGAACTTAGTTTATGATGGAAGGCTTAGTCTGTATATATATCTTTATATCTAATAAATCTACAGGAGTGTTTATAAGCCATGAATGATCATCATGTCTTGTTAGATGACATTCTTTGAAATAAACGGACCCCAATTATTGACTTGCTATCAAAACAACTCTGGATCTCAATTTCGACTATATTTGAAGACATTTTATCTCGGTGAATGTTTCTGAAACTTGGAAAGAGTTTTTGGAACTAAAAGTGAATGGATTCAAGCATTTTTCAGTCGAATGATTTTGGTTCTTTGCCATTAGTTTTAGCATAAAAGCAGTTGAATGTGGCTTCTAAAAGTTATGCGCCAATTTTAGTAAGTAGGATTAGTTGGACCCATAAGATGTATTTTCTTCTGAAATGTGTCGAACTTGCTAAATGATGGTTGAAAGAGAGGAAAAATACTGAAAAGAGTGATGGTAATTGTTGAGGCAGCAAGTTCCATTTGATGCTTAGCATTACTGATTTATTTGTTATCTTAATTATGTCAACATGTCAGGATGGATTTATTCAGCTTGTTCTTATTATGCTGAAACTTCTTTTTCTACCATAATGCAGGGACAAACTTGAGCTAAAAGCAGTTGAAGATGGATCAGTTAGCTATGCAGCACTAGAGAGAAAAGCTGAGTTGTACGATAGGTTAGTGAAGGGAGAGTTATCTGATGAAGAGGATCAAGAAAAGTATTGTGTGGACTTTTTCCGAAAGGGGTATGAGCAGGATGAGTCACAACCACCCCAAAGCCACGGTGTCTCTCAGACAGTGCCACAAGAAAATGAAGAGGGTGATAATGATGCTTCTTTGTTGTTTAACACCAAACCCTCTGCCCGAACGGCTGGAACAGTTGACAGTGTTGAACACAAGCGCTTTATTAGGTATGAGATCAATGCTTTTTTGTGTATTGGCATGGCTCTCTACTGAATTCAGATTGAGTGTTTATTGAGTAGAATGTTTGGATTCTTTTACTTTCCCCTTGTTCTTATTCCTGCAGTGTTTTTTCTTTGAACATGCGTATTTAGTCCAATAACAAGTGGCATAAATTGCTGTGGAAAGATTTTACTACTTTAGTAGGACAAGTTTTTCCAGGTTGGACTTCTGGAATAAATTAAGAGTGTGTTTGGATGAAACCAAACCGTGATTTGGAAAAGTGATTCTGGAGAATAGATTCTGGGAAGAATAGATTTTGGAAAGAATAGATTTTATGAAAAAGTGATTTTGAGAAGTGAGAGTGTTTGGATAGTTGTTATCAGAAGCACTTTTTATATATACAAATTACTAAAAAAAGACATAAATTAATATGATAATTACAGAAAAAATAGATTTTATGATATATTTTAATTTGAAGGAATAAAATTGTGAATAATATATTTTTTATTAACATAATTAATAATACATAAGATAATATAATTAATAAATAATTAATATGTATATATATTTATAAAATATAAGATTAAATATGTTTATAAAAAAAATAACAAGATACATATCCTATAGGCTCTCACACTCTCCTTTTTTTTTTCTAAAAGCAAAAATTTTTTGCTTTTTTCAAAACTATGGTTTTGGCCCAAAATCATGGTTTTGGTTTTTGGGTGATTTATTCCCCAGACCATGGTTTGAGGTGTCACCCAAACACAGCCTAAGTGTACTTTAGTAGGACAAATCTTTCCAGGTTGGACTTCTGGAATAAATTAAATGTCATGAGAAAAAGGCCAAAGGAGGCGGGGCAGGTAGGCTTGGTTAGAAGAAGCTTGGTAACTGCGATGTAAATTCTTTAATTCTTGAGCACTAAAAAGGGAACAAGCCTTACGCTCTGTGTTATTGTTAGAGTTTGTTTTCTCATTGACGCGCTTTTTGATAATTTCTCACTTTTTTCTCTCGTTTATCATGGATAAAATTGTCCTTAATGTCTTATCATCGCTGGTTCTATAATTTCCTTTTGAATTATGGTTTGCAGGGAAGTACATGAAGAAGCTAATCGAGCAAGAGAAAAGGCTTCTGATATAAAATTGCGCAGGCAGGAGCAGGTAGCCGCTCATAGAGAGAAACTAAAGCAGGCCTATCTTCGGAAGAAGCTGGAGCAGATGAAAGCTGCAGCCAATGGATCTGAATCTCAGAACAAGCTCACATGATGCCCACTTAGCCTTTTCTGCCCCGACTTAAGAAGGCCAATGTGCGTGAAACCAGCAGGCAATCTTGAATAGAAGCTTGAGGCGCCGAGAGGCTTGGTCTTGTGCATCTCCGATGTGATGCAGGTAAAACAAAAAGGAAAAAAAAAAAAAGCATCAAAATTCGTTGATGGTGCAGCGTTCATGTCTCTGGCTGCATTTATTGTAATGAAAGAGCATGGCCTGAAAAACAAAGAAAAAAAGAAGAGGATGAGCCTCATGGAAAAATTCTTTTTGCCCTTGTACATAATGTAATTTGACATGAAGTGTTGAGTTGGGCTTTTCCCTGTTTCCTCACTTTGTGAGAGTAATCTATGCGCTATAAATCAATTTTTGTCAATGTATACCAAAAAAATTTTTTGGGGTTAAAAGTTGCATCTCAGATCTTTTCTATTTGTTTTCTTGCTTCTTCTTTCCCAGGGCCACAGCCTACAAGCAACAATTTGCAAAGTTGGACGGGTGGGAATGATTCAGTTATGATGTGAATGAGTGGCATGAACAATCACTATTATTCCTTGATGAATTAAAATAACTACCTACGTACATACAGACATTGAAAATAAAAAATTTCGGAAGATAAAATCAGAGTGTAAGCTTTGGGAATAAAAGTTACTACTACCTTCTGAGATCATTTAATTGGTTTTTCGGTTTCAATTTCCTGGTGTCATCAAGCAACAATTCTGCAAAATTGTGGAAGTGGTGGCAATGAGCCAATGCCTGAGACATGAAATTTAGTCCTTTTTTGGGATTAAATTGTGATTAGGACGATTAATTCGTGAAATTCAGGACATTTAATAATTTGCCATCACCTAAGTACAGACTGTTGTTAATATTTTTCCCCATGAAACTAGTTCTTCTATCATTATTACCGTCCAACACTTTATCTAACAGAGGACATATAATAATTAATAATTAATACTAGTGAATATGATTTACGTATTGATATGCACAAAATTAAGGCTTACTTATTATTTAGTAATGTTACCTGTATTTCGTTTACAGTATAATTTATGTTATAAATTATATCTTATATTTAGGGGTGAAGGTGGTAATTTGCTTGGGGGGTGGTGGAGGATGTTCGGACTGTTCGATTTTATATCTTTATAATTATTTCTTTATACTATACTTTATAATTTATAATATAATAATATACTATATAATATATATAATATATATAATAATAATAAAAATCAAAATTGATAAAAAAATTTAAATAAAAATAAATCAAATAGACAAAATGAAAATAATGTACTGTTCGATTGAGAATAACTATTGTACTTTACACACACCCAACATCCAGTGTCAGGATGGCCGAGTGGTCTAAGGCGCCAGACTCAAGTTCTGGTCCTCGTGAGAGGGCGTGGGTTCAAATCCCACTTCTGACATTTTTCGCAATCTTCTTTGGCCAACTCATCAGATCATAGTCAAGATTCTGCAATCTCTGGTTTTTTTTTTTTTTTTTGTCGGGGAAAGATTCTTCACCGTTACTTGGATTGGATCCGCTCTGCACACAATTCAAAATGAAAACGAGCCGTTTTGAGATTCCAAATTGCAATTTGTATAAAACCGCCCATTTTTCCATTTGAAAAAAATGAGCCGCATTGGTCTTCTACTCGCCCTTCGTTACTCCTCTTTCACTAGCAGAGACCATCGACAAACCCTGCCGTTCCAAGGTAAATAACTGTTTCCTTCTCTTGCTCTTTATTCTTCTTGCATGGTCTTCCTTGGATCCCTCTGTATAAAACGTTGCCGGATAATGGGAATGCCGTTGTTGTCTTAGTTTTCCGATCCTATTGATTCGATCTTACAATATTCATGTACTTTAAATTAACTATGAAGGGTAAGTATGCCGGAATCACGAGACAGACGGCCACAGCCTGTGGACATAGCGGCAGTATTCACTAGCCGGCGATCTGGGGTCATGGGCATAGTAGATGACGAGTTGGATTCGGCTTTATTTCGATCCACGCCAAGTCGAGTGAATACTGTCTGGACGACCTCAGGACAAGCAGCCGGGTTGGGGGGTAGGCGAGCTGGGGGGAGCGTCATCGGCAGTTTTGGCAATCTGAGAAACGGACCACCTACTATTGACAGGAACAGTCCATCTTGGACTGATCGGCGGGGAAGGGTCCGACCATCGCGGAGCGTGCTACCTTCTTGGTACCCAAGAACTCCGCTTCGTGACATCACCGCTGTTGTGAGGGTAAGAGGCATTCCTATACATAGCTGCTTTTTCAGGTTTATTGCTATGGTAGAAAATCAAGCATCCGTATTCGGGTGTTCGATAATTAATTTTGAGTCGAAGTCTTGCTGCTGTCCAACTTAATTCGTAAAAAGCAAAAAGAAATGATGTAAAATTTTTTCGAAATTCTGCATGTTTTTTAGCCTTTCTTAATGATCTGACGTCAACCCCTTTTAAGCGTGAAGTTTAATCCTCTGAATTAATGGCGGATATTGTTGGCATGTGTTGGGGGCTGGATTTAATTTGGGTGAGAATGATAACCAATTAGACGTTTAATTATTCTTTGAATTTCAGTTGGATGGCTTGTTCTTACGAATTAGAATAAAAAGGAAATCCACACTGACAAAATGAATGCACTAAAACCATACGAGAGTGTTGTTTTTAAATACTTTCTGGGACAGGGCTTATGGTTATTTAGTCTATTAAATCATTTAGTCTTACACTAAACTAGTGTTGCCTGAGGAGTTGGAGCCAAGATGGCCAAAAATTCCAAAAACAGAAATAGGGGAGAGAGTTCAAAAGCATTTCAAAAAATTGAACTTGCAACGATGAAAGCCTTGATGTTCCTTTTGGTCAGTTTCATCAAATAGCTGTCATCCTTACATATGTTTACTTAATAATCAATGGATCCCTAAGCATCTTATATTTTATCGGAGACTACATTTGTGCCAGATGAACCAATTGTCATGCAGCATACTGTATGGTCCCGTCAGTTTTTGGTGTCATGTTTTTGCTTTTGTTACTTTCGAAGAATTTTTAATCCTGTCTGATATATGTTAACTGACATGGATCTCTGCTTCTAGGCAATTGAAAGGAGAAGAGTTCGCCTAGGAGAAAACCAAGGACAGCAACCTACTAGTCCATGTCCGGCAGATCAATCTCCTGCAGACTCTCCAATCCCAACCATTGGTCACAAGTTCCGGACACCTACTGGTTGTAAGTTGCCAAAAATTTTACTTGATATCACCAATCAGTCTGAAGAAGGACCAGAATTTCTAACACCACAGAAGAAGCTCCTTAACTCCATTGATATGGTTGAGAAAGTTGTGAGAGAGGAATTGCAGAAACTAAAGAGAACACCAAGCGCGAAGAAGGCAGACAGAGAAAAACGAGTTCGTACTTTGATGTCCATGCGTTAACTTTGAGGTATGCTATATTCGTAGTGGGGCTAGAAAGGGAGCTGGAATTGGAGACCCTAGCAAGACAGGAAAATGAAAATCATTGCTCGATTTATCATCCTCTGATGATAGTTTAGACCTCATTTTAGTCGATAATAATTAGTTTCATGTGCGCTCTAACACTCTTGCTGAACGTCTTGGAGTAGGACCAGTAAGCATGTCCATGTGATCTTTGATAGGTTGGAGTAAGGGCTAAGGATAGTACGTATCATTCTGTCAGATGTACATAAGTGGCAGTACTCGAGAACTTGACTTTGTACCATTACTTTTGTTTTGTACCGTTAAGTCACCAGAATTGTCACGTGGTTCCAACCTTTCGTGATTTTACTTTTTATACACTATTGGCAATTGCCAACGCAAGTCGTCCACATGATCAACGGCTCAGGGACATGCCATATCACCTTTTTTTTTTTAATTACACAGGCTGACATTAATCATTTAAGATTATAAAGATTTATAAGTAAACTTGAACATGCGACTTTCAACTTAAAAGTTTCTATGACATTATACAGTAAAAGCATTGGCATGTTATATCACTCTTAATAAGTTTGCGTTTTAGTTGATTGCATCTATGTTTGCTAACCAATTACAGTCTCCATTTTCTTTATCTTGCCTCCCTTTACCTTCAAAATTATAAGGCATTTGTAACTAACTTTCACCTTCCAAAAATACTGTCGATAACATTATAAAGTAGTTACTCTTTCCACATCTACTCTTATTTAATATGGTAACTTAATAATAAATATGAAGATCTCGTTAGTTTCAAATATTTATCAAGGACATTTTTTGGAAAAACTTCATTAATCACTCCTAGAAAACATCAAAATGCATTATATTTTTAAACAAGAAAAAGAGTAGGAAAATGCCTTTAAAAGAACATGTACTAAAAAAAACTGTGTATATAATAATGGCATATGTGTAACTAATTGAAAATTTGAAGTACTAAATTGAGGCTTACTGAGATATGGAATATTTTGAATAAGAATGACTCAATCTAAAGTGATACAAGGATGGGTCTCCATAATGTTTCTCCAATCCATACTCCAACTTGATTACAAGGGTGTGTTTGGATTGACGTTAGATAAAACTGACTTCTAGTGTAACTGACTTTTGTAATTGAAATTAGAGTAAAAATCAGCTAGCGTAATGTGAGTTACATTTGGATAAGTGCTTATAAAAAGTCAATTGAAAAAGTTAAAAGTGATTTAGATGAAATAGAAAAGTGAGTTTAGTTCTAAAATGACTGAAAATGGCATGGACTTTATTGAATAGTAATATTTGATATTTTATATTTTTAATATGATAATAGTTTACAAAATACCTAAAATTATTATGATAAAATAAAAATTTATTTGTGAGATTATAAAATAAAAATATTTGTCACCGAGAAAAATTTGAAAACATATTATAAATAATTAATTAAATATATATAACAGACAAACATGAATATAAATTAAAATTTATTTGGTTTGAATAAAAACCCATTATGCTAAAGAAGGAGATGAGACAGATGGAAAAAATGTGAAGACAAATCTGAGTTGGTATATTTTTAATATTCATTTTTAATGATTACCATTTGAAACTGCAGTATAAAATGAAAAAAGTCAAATTTTCCTCTATTGAGTCCAACTGATATTGAAGGTCAGGAATTGGTTAGACTTTAACCCATCCAAATAACCATTTAAGCCGCAATAAGCTACAAACCTTAGTTTCACACTTTCCTAAAAGCTTTTACCGTTGCAAACTACAATCCAAATAAGCCCGAAATTCTTGTGAACCTGTTAGTGTGTGTCGCAATATCTTCATTCAACCGCACGAAATCCTTTCAATCAATTTTCTACATTCACATCCATATTTGCAAAGCTCAGGTGAAAGAAATGGGTTTTAATTTGTGATAATTGGCAGTTAACACTATACGGGAGAGAATCCTAGTTTATAACTTTAAGCTAATGTATCTTAAATTCCTAATCAATACATCGTGCAGGAATCTCAGACAACACCATTGTGTTTCCTTACAGCCCGTTGCAAAACTCATCCTATAACAGTTAGATGCACAGTTTTTGACCTTCATATTTCATCAAAGACATGCCCACAAATAGTCACTCCGCTCACATTTTATATCAGATACGAAATTCTAACTTCGACAATCCCTCAAAGCCAGTGGTTGAATGTGTGTATCTATTTATTGCAGATACCCATAGGATCAGCATTCTTGACTATCCAAGGATGCTCCATAATCTTCTGAAGTGATAGCCTTCTCGTGGAATCTTTCACCAAGAGCTGCATCAGTTTCCACATTGCATTCAGAAAATGGCAATTAAATTTTTTCACTGAAAATACTTGCTTTTGCTTGGATATGAATATGAAAATACCCGGCTAATCAGATTTTTGGCTTCTGAAGAAACAGTTGGAGTAGAAGGGAAATTTAGGTCAATCTTCATTATCCTGCATAATGTAATATGCGTACTCATTATAATAGTTTGAGGCATAGACACTAATGTGGTCACATCTAGCATCAAATAATGTAAAATAGCCCCGGGTGGAGCATGTATAGATGGATGGTTATTGTTAACCTCCTCACTAATTAGTGCGTAGAGATTAACAATATTGTATCTCCACGTGTGTTTTGGACCAAAACTCTCGCTTTTCACCAGAAAAAGAAGACATATAAAAATAGGGCACACAATATGTTCGTGTCCAGAACCGGCCATGACAATATTGGTGTCCAACATTTTTTCTTCCTTTTGTTTTTTGGTCGAACATGCTTGCCTAAAAATGGGTGAATAATTCATTTGTAGCTAACAATAACATCTACCACCACACATGCAATTCATTACCTCTTGAAAGTGTCAACTTGACTCTCAGCCTCAAATGGGGGAGAACCATATAAGAATTCATAGCAAAGTATACCCAAAGTCCAGTTATCAACAGAAAAATCATGTTCTTTGTTTTCTACCATTTCAGGTGCTAGATAATCCAATGTTCCACACATAGTATGTCTCTTACTTCTTGACTGTACAGACCAACCAAAATCTGCAATTTTAAGGCGACCCTGCAATTATACCATAGTCATTCATTGGGTACTCTAGAAACGGCACTAATATTTTAAACAGGAACCAACTAGTTACTGAAAGTTTTCATCTTATATCTGCAGAAGAAATCAATATTTTGAGGATCAAATGCTCCTTGATTTTCTTTTTATTGGTTACAATCATTGTCAAGTTGAAGAGAAGAAATGGAAAGGGATTGGGCAAGAAAAAGCAGTGGGCAGAAGATAAATGTATATACTGTCATGCATGTCATATTTCAGGAAAAGAAAATGTATTTCCAACAGAAACCCTGAAGAGGCCAGAGATGCAAAAATCATTCGGAAGAAATTGCGAACTTTACATGCTTGGGATTCTATTGAAAAATCCAACTCTGGCTGAGTTGCTTTAAGTTGATGGGAAAAACTACATTACTAGCAGAGAAAATTGCAAAGAGGAAACAACAAAGGTAATAATATACAAGTCATATTTGACGTACCTCATGGTCAAGCAACAAATTCTCGGGCTTTATATCCCTATGAATGACATGCTTCTCATGACAATATGCCAACGCCTTTGTGAGGCTCAAAATATACTAAAATTATCACAAAAATGTTAAAGTCAATTTAACAATACGGGGAGTACAAAACGATACTTTCCTATAAGATGTTCAGATAATAAGTGACGAAGTTTTTTGTGAATTTCTATTTCATTTTTGCCACATTTTCAAATTTTTCCAGAGCAGCCTTGTTCATTTAATAGCTACTATAAGCATAAACATCACTGCTTAAAACTCGTAAACATTTCAGACTATGCATATGCGATTCACTCTCTTTCAGTTACGTAATTAATAAACTCACAAAACAAACCATAGCTTCCTATGCTCTGATTCAGCTTTCTCGAAACTAAATAATGCAAGGTAATGCCTTGAAGGATGAATGTACACTCTCCAAATATATGACGGTCAGGCTTCCTCCTAAATGAGGCCATATCAATAAGACTCGATAGTGAATCAAGTCGTCAAAATAACAGAAGTGGGCAGGGCGATGCGTAGCAAGTGACAGGTGACAAAAACTTACCGTGGCTGCTTGCTTCTCGGTGAGATGACCTTTTTTTCTGAGCTCTTTGTAAAGCTCACCGTTATGAGCATACTCAAGTATCAAGAAAACCCGTTCGGCATCATGAAACCAGCCATAGAGACGGAGAATGTTGGGGTGCTGAAGACTGGTCTGAATCTCCATCTCTCTCCTCAGTTGGTGATGAATTCTGTACTTTTCTATTTGTTCCTTAAAAATAACCTTAAGTGCCACAATATATTTGCTCTGAAAGGAATAACACGATTAAAAAAAATCCATAAATAGCCATCTAGCCGAGTTGGTAATTCCAAATCAATTCAACGAAGGGGATACTTGAATATCACATGTAGATTCAGTACCAGCAAAAAAGAGAAATATACACACTGAGGAATTCATAGTAAGAAATCACGAACCCATCAGGGAAAAAAAAGAAAAAAGAAAAGTAAAAAGACTATCTTCTTTGATCCACCATAAAAATGAACATTCAGCATTGAAAGCTACAGCCCAGACAGAGTTGCAGTGAAACAGTGAAAGAGAAAACCAGATATTTACAAAATTAACCAGTATAAAACAATGTGGAGTCAAATATTTTGATCACAATTTCGGGAATCTTGAGCGAACGCATGAGTTCCGAACAAATCAGGCAAAATTAAAGAAAGGGAGTTCTTAAATTGAGAACCTTGACTTCTCGAGCGACGTAGACTCTACCAAATTTCCCTTTTCCTAGGGGTTTTCCGATCTCGAAGTCTCTCAAGGACCATTGCTTCTTAGGGTTGTCTTCTTTGGGTTGATTTTGGGAAACCATCTCAGTGTTTGGAGATTCTCCGATTGAAATGCGAAAAACTATATGAACGTATTACGGTTTCAGAGAATTTATCAAGTGGCAACTAATGGCGACTATGGCAGTCAGAACAACTAATCGAAGATGCAATTCGTGGAGCAGAACAACTAATCAAGTAAAGCTAAAGAAGATCAAAATGGCAAACGGAGTGGAAAGGAAGCAAATTTAAATCGAAGAGCGGGAAGACGATGAACTCCTTATGCTTTAATTTTACTTTACCCATAAAATAATCAGTACTAAGAACAATTCTGATTTTGAAAATAATTTTAAGGAATTTACTATTCTTTATTATTTTTATTATAAGTTTCAAATAACTAATTTGCAGATAATAAAAATTAATTAAAATTAATGAAAATTGATAAATAGGTTATAAATATATTTTTGATTTAAATATGTTCTTATAATAAATGAGATAAAAATAAGAGAAAATATATGAAAAAATGTAACTAGAATATAGCAGAAAAGAGAGAACAAAATATATAATATTTAATAAAATTTATATTGTTTTTGGTCATTTTACAACTAATCTTACTTTTTTAATAATAATCCAAACAATTTCACAAACTTTATAGTCAATCAAACATAAATCACATTACCTAATTTAATGCCTTTTGAAATGGCTTATATTAGTTTTTCAATTTAGTTTATAGAATACGAGAGAAGTATATAAGATGAATTTTTGTCTTGATTTACGTGAAAAGTATTTATAAGTGATTTCATCTAATCTATTTTTCCACCAGTTAAATTGAAAACAAGTTATTTTTTTAACCGGTAATCCAACTTGTCCAACATCTGTTCAATGTTGGCTGTTGGGTTCATCAAAACCTGCTTTTAAATATCTGTGGTTCCCATTTTCTAATTCTTATTCAAAGAGGGTTTATATTTTGCGTTGTGATAATTACTGAAAGGGGGGAAAAGCATACATGCAATTATTTAGATGTTTTATGAAGGTTTTTGATCAGATGATAGCATGTGGAAGGGTCTCTGTGTCGGTATGAAGGTGGATAACAAATACCAAGTGTCTGTATGCTTGTAAGCTTTTGTCCAAAACTTCGATAATAAATATGGAAAGAATATATGTGAATGTAATTGTTTAAGCATTTGTTGCGAGACTTTTCAATTGAACAAATGTTATATTAAGGATTGACAAAATTTATCTTTTTTATTGATACAAATTTCACAAAATCATATACATTTTACTCTTCAAGAAAAACTGTCATATTTTTGAAATAATTCTGAACTAATTATTATTTATATACAAAAATATTTTATTATATATCAAAGTAAATAGAAGATTTATGGATTTCTTTTCTAAATGAGTTAATACAATTTTTAGTCCCTTAAATTTATTGCTATTTTAGTTTTGATTCTTTCAAATTTTTAAACTATAAGTTTTGATTTCTCAAATTTCTTTTTCACTTAAAACATTAATCCTTATGATTTAATAAAAAATAAAAATATAAACTATTTTACCTTTTGAAAAATCAAAACCTATAATTTAAATAAAAAATTATATTAATGCTTTCTAAATTTTAACATTTCCCCCTTTTTTTCTTAACCAAGAACATTTCCCCTGTTAAAAAGGTAGTTTGAGAAAGGTTTAATTGGCCGCATCAAAAGTGAAGTTGATATTCATCAAAAAAAAAAAAAGTGACGTTGATTGGGTCTAGTTATACTTAGATGACGAAAGATCTATCTGCCTTGCAAAAAAGAAAAAGAATCCAAAATTCGAATTGAGGGGTTTAGAAAAAAAAAAAAAAAGAAGAGGGATTTCTGCATGCGGCATACTTTTTCTCGGCATTCTGCCTCTGAAATGAGAAATCTGCTAGGATTGATCTGTCTTGTGAACTTGGTGAGCAAAATACAGACTCGAATATATTGAGCGACGTTTTTACAGTTCCTTGAAAATTGAAATGTTGAAAAGTGAAATATTCACTGTTTAGACAAAAGTGAATTGGGAATCCACTGACCGAGAGCACAACACATTCTTGAGACTTCAGAAGGCAAACATTGGATGAGCTAATAGAAGTTCATTCCATCTAATGAACAAAATTCTCAATACTGTCAATGAAATACATGATATGGTTGGCATTACAGTATAGACAATAATAAAACTTGAAGGGGAGAAATTAAAGTTCCTTTGACAGCAGAACTCTGTCATGTCAAGTTAGCCCGATGATCTCCCAGCAAGCAGATGCGTCAACTCTGGAGAGTGAGGTTCTGCTTCCTGAAAATCATTCTGCATTGTTCATTAAATGAAAAATTAACTTGAAGACTGCAAGACTTGGGCGTATCACAAGCAAAAATAAACATGATTTTTCAATCATTCTTTTAATGTCAGGTCACAAGTGTTCTAAGGCCGTGTCTGAAATCAAATTCTTTCGCTTAGAATACTCCACGGAAGAATCAAACCCAGAATGATGAGGGAGATGTCGACTTAGTTAAACCCCACTAGAGAATCCAGCTGAATTGAAATTCATACCAGGATTCTGGATTAAGATTTTCATGTCTGCAATTCTATGAAATTTTATCCACTGCATTTCACGAAAGATAAATTGGTTATAAATTGCGAAATCCGTACCTTCAACCTCTAATATCCCAAATATCTGCATCCATGTGCTCCTATGATATCATATGCACCACTCCATCAGCTATCATTACTCTATTGTCATCTTGCAACTTCTGAAATTTCAGAAAGACAACAGATTTGGTTTTATCAGAGTCCAGGATGAAAATATGGCACCACAAATTCATTCAAGGATGGTACCTCTAATAGGAATAATATCTCTCTCTCTGCTGTAACTGGATTCTGCCCCTTGGTTGATAACATTCTCTATATCTGAAATGGATATGAGATCCAAGCGATTGGCACGCATATGCTGACCAATAAAGAATTGAATGCTTCGATTCTGCATTTTGACGGAAAATATTAAACATTAGAAGGTAGAACTGATGTCGCATAAATAAAACTACCACG